CCTTATTTATTTTATTTATGTTTATCGGGTTACAAACTTATAATGTGTTAGACGTTTTTAATAACATTTTCATTATATTTATTTAGCCATTATTTTCTTTATTATTATTTAAAGTTGTTATTTAGCCTCAAAATTTTTAATAATCGTTGTTATTAACAAATATTTAGATTAAATATTTAATAATAATATTTTAAGAATCGATCAAGCGATCTTATCGGTTAAAGAGAACGTTGTTCTCCCTCTTCATTTGTAGGGCGTGTGGGTTCATTCTCAATTGATTGAAACAAGTTTGAATAGATATTTTCATGTAACCATCGTATGCTAACAAAATATTTTTTTAATTAATAAATTTTAAAATTGCCATTTTAACTGAAAATTTTCAATAATCTTTGTTTTTAAATAAACACTTCAATTAAAAGATCATTCAGATATTTTTATTTTCACAAATATTTCATATAGTTATAACTTATAATTATTGTTATTAAATAATCTTTGTGGTAGTTACGACTGGTATAAATGTGTCGTAAATGTAAGCAAATGAGATAGTATGGATGCTTCATTGAAATTTAGAATGATTCTTTTCTTTGTAAGGTTGAGATCTTTCAAACATGCTAAATATAGGGACAGAAGCAAGATTTTATGTAGGGGACGAATTTAAACTTAGGGACGAATTTAAACTTAGGGACGAATTAAAATTATAGGGGGTAAAAACGGATTTCAATAGAAAATACAAAAAATATATATATAATAATTTTAAATTTTCAAGGAAACGACTGCCGCGTCTGTCTATCTTGTTTAGATCTCTCTATCAATTATCTACTAGTGAAAAATTAGAAATCAGGATCTCTAATAATGTTCATATTTGAGCCTCTAAACCATGCTCTCCAAGATATTTAAATTGTATAGCAAACCTAAGAATTCTACCCATGATTCAAGTATATATTTTTTGGGTAAACTACGTATTTAGTCACTAAACTATTCTTGTGATTCTAATTTGGTCACTCGACTACTTTTTTAAAATAATATCTAAAGTAATGCTTTGATTATGTTTTGGTCACCTATTGTTAAAAATTAACAAGGTTATTGATATGTCACCATAAAGTAATGTCACATCATCATTGAAAAATAAAAAATAATTCTCGTAAGTAATTATGCTTTTTTTAACATCGAGTGACGAAAATATAACTTTAGTCTTTAGGTATGATTTTGGACAAAAATAGTTTGGTGACAAAAACATAACCACAGGAATGGATGGATGACTAAATACGTAGTTTACCCTTTTTTTATAACTCTATTTTGAATAACCAAACAAAATTACCTTAGTAGTTAAAGGAATGGTTGTCATTCCTAGATGTACCGAGTTCGAGCACCATCTATTGCAGTATGGGTGATTGAGCGTTCATTGTCAAAAATAATTGACAGTATTTAGAATAAATATTACTTTGTAACTTAATATACACATACACACAATATCTAACCTTTTCTGCTTGTTGTATAATAGTTAGTCCTCGTGTGATGCCGTCTCTTTGAACTCGGACGGCGCCCTCTGTGTAAGTGAGAAGTGAAGGATTAATGGCTGCAAGTATGGCCGTTGGATCGTGAAGGTACACACCTGCAGAACGGTAGTGAATAAATTAAAAGGCCGTGATGCTCTGCTAAAATCCCTTAATCATTACCAGCAGAGAAACCTTTCGTGCTGTATGCTTCATAATGATAATTGAAGTATACCCCTAGAATTTTGCACAAAAACCGAGCAAATGTTCCAGTTGAGCTAGCCAATTTGTCACAATCAGCATCTAAAATATGTCAAATTTGATAAAAACTGATGGCAACTGAAAAGCAAGACTAAAAAATGAAGGAAAAAAGTTGCAGAAACTAGAAATATAAGGTATTCACATAGATGTATAGAGAAATAACCAACATGAGTTCCAGTGAAAACAACTAGATGAGTGACATCTATCCCCACAGCCACAATATTTGCTCCACTTGTGAACACATATCTGCAGCATCTGGATCACCAATGATCTGTCATTCGATTCAGAAATCCGAACAAGATGTAAGATAAAGTGTATGCGGCCACTACACCAGTCTGGTAAATTGTCGTGTTCGACACAGAAAAGTAGATACCAAAGCGTTGAGAAACTTACATTGGCCTCTGCAGCTGGATTCGGATTGCCGTTTACTGCAAAAGCGCCACCAAGAAGAACAATTTGCCCAATGTTTTTAACAAATGATGGAACTTGTTGAATAGCCTGCTCAAAGTAAAATCTAGCATGAAACATTAGGGTTGTCATTTACAAAGGAAATCATGCCACAATAGTGGCAAGCAAATGATCAAAACCAGACCAGTACAGGATTTGTTAGCGGTCCCAATGCCACCCCAACCCCTCAAATCGAAGAAAGACACTAAACCCCATAAATCATATATGTTTTTATTTAATTCATGAGTTTTAAAAAGATTTTGAGAAAATCTAAACAAATAAAATAATATAGGAAGATTAGACGAGTTCACCGATATTAAAGATAACTATGGAATGACAACTTCTCATTACGTTGAAATGAGTGAACAAATTATAATTTTGACGAAGAATAAGATGAGATAAAATAAAAACTTTATTTTACCTTCACATTAGCTTATATCAATTTTCATGCCAACAACAAACTAACATGTCATCTAATTGTTAATATTTTAACAGTTCAATTCATCAATTAAAAAGTAAATTAAAATTTAATGATATAATTAATGCAGATCTTAAAGTTTAATGACTAATAATACAATATGCCGAAGTAGAAAAAGAGGGTAGAAAACATGGTAAAGTTGGAATGTGAATTGGCTCATCTTTAACGGAATCTATATGACGTTTTCTTTGGACAAATTTCACGAATAATCCCTGTACTTCGCTTATGTTATGAAATCGATGTTCCCATTTTCCATTTTTTATGTGAATCTCCAAATTTTGTGAACAGTACCGTACACCACACCCCATCAGCCTCAACCGACAACCAGCGACACTGATAGACAGTCTGGTGGCTCAGCACAAATACATAAAAGATTATATCTAACTAAGCTTGGTGATTTGGAAAAACTGCTCTTGCGTTTAGCTGATGCGTTTGCATATTTGTTCATCTCATATGGACGAACATAAGATTTTATATTAAAGAGTAATATTAAATTTATAAAATAAAGTGAATTTAAACTTATAAAATTTTAGTAACGAAAATAAATTTTTAATAAAAATACATAAAAAAATTAAAATACATGTTAATTTTAAATTTTTAAGGAGACGATTGCTTCTATCCACCTTCTTAATCCATCATGGGTTCCTCTCATTGAACGTGTATTTGACATGCTTCCATGGTTAGGTTACAATTGGATGGATGGTGAGGTTAACTCTGCTAAGATCGAAAATAACGGAGACAAAATTAAATATTGTCAGGAGCCGAAATATTATACTATTTAAGAAAAATATAAAGACTTATTAGGTATTTAAACTCGAAATTCAGCATGAACTAAGCGACTTTAGTGATTAAGGGATTGTTGTTATCTTTGAGGTCTCGAGCATGTAAGTAGGGGTATGAGTTTTCATTGTCAAATAGTTAAAAATCTTTGTACATATATTACCTTGTATTCACCCTAAATTAAAAAAAAAACTCAAAAGACAACTTCTAATTTGTCTAATATTTAAACTTACAATGACTTAAATTATAATTCTACAAAAAATTTGAAAACACAGACTTATCATTTTTTAGTTCGACTCATACTTGATTAAACATTTAATAGTTTTTTATATTTTTTAAATTTAAATATTTATTTTTACATGAACCAAAATACTATTAAATCAAAATTATATCAATATATAAATTTTAATAGGGGTCGGGGCTCCCTTGGGCCCTAAGGGAGCTTCGTCCCTATATTATGGTAAATGAGATTAATTATAGATTTTTTTTATCATTTATTGATGTGAATTTAATTAAGTTTATAATTTATTTGTAACATCACAATAATGTCTATGAAATAAATTGTAGATTTTTACTTGTTATATTAATATAGATTTAGACGATTTAAACTCAACAAGTTTAGTAATAATATTTTTTTGAATTGATTACTGGTATATGATCTATTGACTAACTAATTCAGATCGAGTACTGCAGAGGAGAGAGCTCCCCTCCCAACCCAATTTATTTTATTTACAAACACTATGATTTGAATCCCTTAAAAGAACTATCTTTTTCCTTCCATATATAATATCTAAATATTTTTACTAAAGATATGCTCTTTTAAATACATTTTGCACATGATATATCTATATAAAAAATGAATGTTATTTTTTAAAAATAAATTTTTTAGTATTATTTTAATTAATAACTTTAAAAAATACTATTTACGTAATTTTAACGAATTTTTTTTTAAAACAAAGCCAATTGTCATTTGCCATTTGCAGAATAAACGACGGATAAATGTTTTTTTGTTCAAAGAAAAGCATTAAACTGACACGTGCCATTCCCTCAAGCATTTTGACTCGGCAGAGCCACCGGAGAGAGAGAGAAGAAAAGAAGAACAAAGCTCTCTCGTTCCTCGTAATATTGGCGTTGGAAATTTCTTCATTTTATCCCCTTTTTCTGGGAGAAAATCGAAGAGAGATGAAAGATATAGATCGAAAACGAATCCCACAACCTAATCTCCGAAACGTTACGTTATGAACCTAATCCATTACGCTTCAAGGATTCATTTCAACCGATCTGACCGGTTTTTATTTGTTTATTTTTTTTGACTCGACGGTCAGTGGTGAAGGAGAAGGAAGGGGGAGCTTAATCAAGTGACCGGACCGTGGAAGAGCGGGAAGGATGCCGTCAACGGGAGACCTAGAACGTCAAATCGAGCAGCTGATGAAGTGTGAGCCACTATCGGAGGCGGAGGTGAAGGCGTTATGCGAGCAGGCACGAGAGATACTGATGGAGGAATGGAACGTGCAGCCAGTGAAATGTCCGGTAACGGTATGTGGAGATATTCACGGTCAGTTTTATGATCTAATAGAGCTGTTCCAGATAGGAGGCAATACGCCTGATACTAATTATCTCTTCATGGGAGATTATGTAGGTCAGTTTGTTTCTTTGCTTAAACTTTTTTTTTCCGGATTATTTGAAATTTGATGTGATTTTTAAAATGAGTGCGAGGCGGTTTTTTATTTATTTTCTTTTTGTGGCATACTTTTGTGAAGAATATTTGGTGAATATGTTCTGTTCTCTGCTGTGCTTTGTTAATTTTTATATCATATTCATGTTTTTTTATGTGAAATTTTGTGGATTAATTAACGGGATTTTATAGAATCAGATTTGCATCAAATCTTTCCTGGCTTTGCCAAAAAAAGGAGGAGGAGGAGGCATTGGCTACCTTCAATTCTTCAAATGTGGATAGATTGGATGATTATTGTGCTTAAACTGTATCAAATCCATTGGTTCTATACTTATATGTTCTATATTCATGCTACTGAGTTTGCTGCAAATTTAATTCAGTGCCCCTCCTTGGATGCTTAAATTGCTGCGAATCTTGGGGTGGGAAATGGGAACAGTGTTTGTGCGTGCCGAGCTTCATCTATACTGTGGACAAGCGTAGTCTTTTAGGTCCTTACCTCTAACGGATAGGAGTTATATTTTCTCAAATCTGTGATACCAAATTTCTTGCTGGGGATAAGTTGGGACATGTGTCAATATTGTCAAGGGCTCTTGTCATAAATAGAAATATTAGCTATGTGCAGGGACGGACGTAAGATTTTATTCTAGGGTAATTTATAAAATTAAGCTATGTGCAGGGACGGACGTAAGATTTTATTCTAGGGTAATTTATAAAATTAAGGGGGGAAATAAATTATCAATGAAAATATAAAGAAATTCTTAAATTATATGAGAATTTTAAAACTTTTAGGAGACCACCCTCGGTGAGATATGGATTAAATTGTGTTTGTAAATTATGTTTGTCAAGTATTATATGAATTAATTGTAGTCTAGTCTAAGCTATTAGATGGTTGTGGCCATTGAGGTTATGAGATATGGATAGGAATGAGTTCATTTAATAGTGTTTCCTGTTCTCAAAAGAAAAATTGCAGTTGGTTGAAAATTTTATAATTTGAATGGATCGACTACTGAGATGTTCTTTTAACCTTTGCTTTGGGCAGATCGTGGATACTACTCAGTTGAGACTGTCACACTCTTAGTGGCCTTGAAAGTCCGTTATAGAGAGAGAATCACAATTCTAAGAGGAAATCACGAGAGCAGGCAGATAACACAAGTGTAAGATCTTTTCACTAGATTTCCTCCTTTCTTTTAATGACGTTATATCAGATACAGGAACAAAGAAAACAACATTTAAGCTTTGCTTGAAAGGATGAAAAGATTTAAATGTAAAAAGAAATTGTCGATCTAATGATTAAGTTACGAGATAGGAAAGGTGTTACAAAACTTAATCATTGGCCACTATGTAAGGCCTTCATTCTTTCTACTAGTAAAATTTCCAAACTATGTTCCCTGTTTTGTTTAAATGGGTTCACACTTTATTTTACCAACTTCCCCTGTGTTTTGAATCGATACTCCCTTCCAAGAAAAAAAAACTTGGAAAGGCCTGTGGATGCCATGCCATGCCTGAAGCAATACATAGATACTAGAGATAAGGATGTCAAATTTAACATTTGTCAGTAGTTACAAACATAAAGCAACTAATGAAAAGGGAAATCACATTGACATTTAATTTATAAAGAGAACTTTGAAAATCGTGGCAGTTTGTTTATTGGTGTTTAGAACTTCTCACATTGCATTGTACGATGAGTGGTATATGGGCTGCCACATTATCGTTTTTCTAAAGGTTTTATTTCCCCTCCTTTTCAGGTATGGTTTTTATGATGAATGCTTGAGAAATATGGAAATGCCAATGTGTGGAAGCATTTTACAGACCTGTTTGATTATTTACCACTCACAGCTCTTATTGAGAGTCAGGTCTGACTTCAACTTTACCAGACTGTTTAAGTTATTGTCATTGGTGGCTTCTGAAAACCATAGCATTTTGACATGACAGATCTTTTGTTTACATGGTGGACTGTCACCATCTTTGGAAACATTAGACAATATTCGAGACTTGGACCGTATGCAGGAGGTATGTATACGAGTGATACTCTCAGCTTTCGTTAGTCATCTTGATCCTTGTTCAAGTGGTGTACTGGTAATTTGCCATATACTTTGATTCTTACGTAACCAATTAAAGTATAAAAACTTGATAGATTATGAATGGTAGGACAGTTGAGACTTGAGAAAATGGCCAACAAGTTTCTGTTGGGGTCTATGGTGCCACTGAAATTCGTGATTAAGTTGCCTCGAATCTTTGGTTGCATCATTTCCGAAACTTTACGATGTTCATTCATTATCTGGCTCTTCTGTTTTTATAATCCGACATTCTGTTGGTCTATTCATGGTAGGTTCCCCATGAAGGACCAATGTGTGATCTTTTGTGGTCTGATCCTGATGAGCGATGTGGTTGGGGTATATCACCACGTGGTGCCGGTTACACATTCGGACAAGATATTGCTGAACAGTTCAACCATACCAATGGTCTTAATCTGATATCACGAGCACATCAGCTTGTGATGGAAGGATACAGCTGGTGTCAGGTGTGGGAACCAATTCAAGACATGTTTTCTAACATGTTTACCGTCATAGAAGTATATTGATTACTTATTATGTGCTTCCCTTCAGGACAAGAACGTGGTTACCGTCTTCAGCGCTCCGAATTATTGTTATCGGTGTGGGAACATGGCCGCAATTTTAGAGGTTGGGGAGAATATGGACCAGAAGTTTCTTCAGTTTGATCCGGCACCCCGGCAAATCGTGCCCGACACCACACGGAAGACTCCCGATTATTTCTTGTAATTATATTTATATAATGATATTTGCTGGTTGTTCCTACTTTTTAGCTTCCGTTTACTGATAAGAAGTTTTGGTCCATCTCCAGTTCATTCTTTGATGTTTAGAGTTTGTGCAGTTGCTGCACCGATATAGGCTCGAATGACCTTTTTTTTTTGTCTTTATATATTTCTCACAGTTTGCATCAATTTTTTTTTCCATCTAATTTCAATTAGTTATGATATTTCCTTGTTGTATGAAGATCTCCCAGAGGCATAACGAATCCATTACACCGATCTGTAGGTTTTAGAATTTTCTTTTTTAGGAATTTGACATAAATGAACCAAAAATTTATGCTAAAATTGATATTTTATTTAAACTTTAGATGTTAAATTAAAAATTAATTATTTTTTAAGGTGTTACGTTATCAAATAAATTGATAAACATAAGTAGAGATAACCATGGGTCTGGTTGAGTTTTTGGCCCACTTGAATCTGACCCAAAAATTAAACTCATTTACCTGCACTTAAACCAGTATTAGCTTTGTTGCCGATAACGATCCAGTGTTTATGTTTTCTCACAAATGGCGATGTCGATAGCCTTATCATGCAGCCATCTCAGTCCTACAGCCAAGCTTCCCCACTCCTCAATCTCCCCGCCCACAACGCTTCCCTTCCCTCACAAATCCTTCAGCCTCAAAGCCCCAATATTCTCCATTTGCCGTAGCCAGGTCGCTTTCTTAATCGAGTTTCGAAACCCCTTTTCTTCAGTTTCTCTAATCACCGATTTGCAACTAAATTTTTGATTTTTTTTTTAAAAAAATCAGTATGGTGGTTCGGGTTACGAGGAAGCTGAGGCGGTCGACGAACTTTTCTTCCGCGATTTGGTTGAGGAGAGCGACGACGACGAAACAGAGAGCAGCGTTGATTTATTGATGAGATTCTTGCAGAGCATGTTAAGGAAAGTCTCGAAGCGTGCCAAGAAGGCTTCTCGCTCTATCTTACCTGCTGGAATATCGCCCCAACTAGTAAATTACTCAAATTTCTTCTTGCTCTTTGTCTTTGAATAGTGTCTTGATGCTATGAATTAGCCTGTGTGTTGGGATTTATTGTTACTCTGTATGTTCAATTTACATTCTCTTTGCAAGTGTAATTAATGTTAATAGAGCTTAACTGCTTAAGTGAGTGTCAAATATCGATATAACATGGACATCGTCGTCGAATATGGATACATATACGGGCATCGTGGTCATACTTGAAGTGTTAATGTTGTGTTGCTGTGTAAATTAGCAGAATTGTTAGCACTGAGGCTCATTTGATTTGCTTGTTAGTGCCAACATTGACTCCTATTGCTGGTTTCTCTATGTTTCGGATCTCGACCTCGGAAAAATCAGGTGTCCTTTGCAGTTGATGGAGTACTCTTATTTGCTGCACTTTCCATTCTCAAATCACTTCTTGAGGTATCAGTTACACTTTCAGTTCCTAATTTTGTATATGGTTAAGACATCGATCTATGTTACTCATATACGAATATGTATCTGACACGGATATAGTTAGTTTTTTTTTTAATTTTTCATGTATTTGGAGAATCCATGGAGGCCACATCTTGGTATCCATATGTTGTGCACAAGTGTTTTTTTCTTCTTCTTTTTTTGAGAATGTCTACAAGTGTAGAACACGGGTACTTCAAGAAAAATGAAGAGTCTGAGTAACATGGGTGTCGATTGATGCTGCTAGTATGATGTTTAAGCTTTGACTAACGCATGAATACAGCACTAGATTTTCATTATCTTAAATCCATATCTTGTATGCTACCTTGCATGATATAAATAAGCTGGCCTAAATCAAACCGAACCATTATGAGAGAGTTGCATTAAGCTCATTGCTGCAGATTGAAGCTGTCTTCTGTATAGTTCTTCATAAATCATCTTCCCTTTGCTTTGATAATGAAAATAATTTGCCAAAATCCGTAATGATATGAACTATATTGATCACAGGTGGTTTGCACTCTTGGAGGCACTGCATTTGTCGTAATACTGCTCCTTCGCGTGATTTGGGTTGCTGTGTCATATTTTCAATCGATTAGCAATGGTTTTAACCAAGGTGAGGGTTTCTTCGGCGCTTTCAGCCAATAATACAACCTCATCATTGGCTAAAGATGGGTTTTGGAAGTTTTTTTTATGCAGATGTGCTCTACTATTTCCTCTTGTACATTTGACGAGGAAAATGCAAATATGACAACCGTGTACACTTTTTTACACTAGCACTATTGAATGATTGATCATACGGCGAAAACGACGGTGGAGCCGTTAGGTACTGAGTTGATCATTCTTTTAGACATCAACGGTAGCTCTGTGGCCCATGCTGAGAAAGGAAGATTGGTTTTCTACTTTCCAATGGTTTAATATGATGCGTCATGTACATCTTTGGCAACAACTAGAGGGAGCGTTTGCAGATTGTTTCTCGAGCATTTCTAGCTTGTCTGGTTCTTTTAGAACCGGTGTCGGTACACAACCACTGGGAGTGGTGTACTTCGACTCTGTTCTGTCATCACTTGTGAATAGAGTTGCACAAAAAATCCGATTTTGCTAAAAAAAATCCGAAACCGGATTTGGGAAATATCGGTTTTTTTTTAAACCGGATCAGATATTTTAAAACCGGATAGTATAACCGGTTTGGGAAAAAATTGAACGACTGGTTTTTTTACCAGATTAAAAATCGGTTTGAAAAAAACCTAATAAAAATCAGTTTTTATCCAAAAAAATCCAGTATGGGGTTTAAAAATTAGTCGTTAATATAACCGGTTTGGGAAAAAATTAGACGATCGGTTTTTTTATCGGATTAAAAACTGATTTTTTTAAAAAATCAATTTTTTTCAAACCGAAACCGGTTACATCGGTTATACCATTCGACCCTCCAAACCGGTTAGGATTCGAACCGGTTTTTTAAAATCTGGTTTTTTGGTTAGGTTAAAAAACCGGATCGGTTTTTATCTGATCTGTATCGAATTTAAATCCGACTTTGTGCATCCCTACTTGTGAACAGAATGTTAAACCGGTAGCATGAGACGGATGTTCACGGTACTTGAATGCCGAATGAAATCAACCGAGCATTGGTCGATACCATTCAAGGGAAATACCGTTGAAATGCATCATAAAAATAGCAAAGATTATGGGACGCATGTACAAACGTGTTACAGTCTTTGTAAATAAATTATTAACATATAAAAGTGTACAGAAAATTATAATATTTAGTGAATAATAAAATAATACTAACGATAAGATATAAAAATAACAAAATTTCAATGAAGATATGAAAACATGATAAAGTTCACATAAAAATTATTAAAATTTATCTAACTAAAAGGGGTGAATTCACGAGATAATGTTCTCGAATTTTTTTTTTCACGATATGGTGCACATTCCAGATTAATTGCTGGAATGGGGTGAATTCTACAGTGATCATAGGACGCCATGCAATCCAGGCGATCTTGTAGGACGCCATGCAATCCAGGCGACATACGGGGTGACATACGGGGTGACATACGGGGTGACATACGAGCCATACGAGCCAATGGGGAGAGGTTGCCATGCGAGGTCGCCATGCAGTCCTATACGAGGAATAGAGAGGTCGCCATGCAGCCTAGGCGACCTTGTAGGTCGCCATGCAGCCTAGGCGACCTTGTAGGTCGCCGTGTAGTCCCGGCGACCTTGTAGGTCGCCATGTAGTCCCGGCGCCATTCCCATCATCCATGCACATGCAGCCACATAGATTCCTTCACGTGCTCCCCGCTGCATGCTGCATGCCTATAGCTCCCAATGAAACCATGTGAACAATTTGAGCCAATGCATGCATGTGAAATAATTGGTACAATAATTGAACCATTGCTGCGTGAAATATCATAGCTGCAATTGTACAATTATTGGTGAAATAATTGAGGCAGTCGGTTGGTGAAATAATTGAGGCATCCGGTTATAAAAGAAAGAAAGAAAGGGAGAAGAGATTGCAGAAGAAAGTTAGAAGAGATTGCAGCCGAGAAAGAAAGAAAGGGAGAAAGGAAAGAAAGAAAGGGAGAAAGGAAAGTAAGAAGAAGAAAGGGAGATAAGGTAAATTTTTTTATATTTAAATTAGTTTATTATTATAAATGTTTAATTTGTTAGTTTAGGGTTTAGGGTAAAACAAAAAGCAGCTAATTAGTTTGTTAGTTTAGGGTTATATGATTGTTAGTTTAAGTTATAGTATACATAAATTAAAAATTATTTAATTAGTATATGTTTGATAGTTATATAGTTAAAAAATAATTAATTAGTTTGTTTTGTTAATAGTTAGTTATATAAAAAAATTATTTAATTAGTTTGTGTTAGTTAAATAGTTAAGTTATATTTGTTTGTTGAATTTATATTATATAAAAAATTAGTTAGTAAATTTATTAGTAGTATATTATAATGAAAAAATAGTTTATTAGTTAGTTTTAGTTATATAAAAGAATATTTTATTAGTTGTTTAAGGGTTTAGCGTTTATGTTTAACTTATATTTTAAAAAGTTTAGTTTGTTAGTTTATTAGTTTATTATATTATAAGTTATTATATTAAAGTTTAGTGTTGTAAATTAGTTAGTTAGTTTATATTAGATTATATTAAATGATTTTTTTAATATTGTTGTTTAATTTTTTTTACAGATTCATTCCAATGGCTGACCAAATTTCACTGTTGAGGCTTGACAATGAACATATTTCAAGTCATTTGGGAATAATGGTGAATAAAATATTTGTTTAATGAATTATAATTAATAAATATTTGAATATTATTTTATGATTGTGATAATTTTTTTGAAATATTTAATTGTAGGAGGACGAGCAGCGAGTCCTTCGTCTTCGACTACATAAAGTGCCCAAGCCACACCCACTAATAGAAGAAAATTTGCAAGAGGCTGGATTTTGGTATATCACATTTGTGCGAGATTACAAGTTGGTCCCAGGTTTGATCAGTGCGTTGATTGAACGTTGGAGACCAGAAACGCACACGTTTCATTTGCCGTGTGGCGAATGCACGATAACTTTAGAGGATGTGGCAATGCAACTCGGGGTCCAAACTAATGGGATGCCGGTGCTAATGTCACATGAGTTTAATAAGGTGGAACAACTTTGTAACTTGTTTCTTGGGAAAGCGCCCGTACCACCAGAGTGTAAAGGGTGGCGGGTGAGGTTGTCATGGTTGAAGAATGAATTTCAACTTCAATCAAATAGTACGGAGCACGAAATTATATATGCAACACGAGCATATATATTACAATTGATTGGGGGAATTTTGATGCCTGATAAATCCGGTAGTTATGTTCACACTCAGTATCTTCTTTTTTTAACAAATTTTGAGAATTGTAGGCAATATAGCTGGGGTTCGGCGATATTGGCGTTCTTGTATCGTGAGATGTGCAATGCGTCATTAGTCGTGAATGATAATAATACAGTGGAAATCGGTGGATGTCTGTTGCTGCTACAATCATGGGCTTGGCATAGACTTCCGTTTTTGACACCGATTAGTCGGACTGCGGTTGACTTTCCACTTGCCGGAAGGTAATATGAATCATCTATTTTAATATAAAATATTAATTAAAAAATATTTATTTTGATTAAAATTATTGAACAAAATGTCTCTATTTTTGTTTTGATTGATATACAGATGGAGGCATAAAATTGAAGGCACAGGGTTGGTGCACAACAACATTAAAGAGTTCAGGTTGAAGATCGACATTAATGTCAAAAAGGAGGTATGCATAATTTGTATTTTTTAATTATTATTTAAATTAACTATATTATCTGATTTAAATAAATTTTATTGTTTTTGTAATTTTACAGTTTAATTGGAGACCATACATGAATGAAGAATTATTTGCGTTGATACCGCACGATATTTTAGATGGGTTTCAATATTGGTGTGCTGTTACACCATTGATCAATTTTGCTTTTGTTGAGATCCAATTTGGGGATAGAGTGCTGAGGCAATTCCACTTCCACCAACCTATTCCGCGAAGTCCATGGGATCATGACCTCCTCCAAAACTTAGATGGTCGTCGTCCAGTGAATTGGGTTGAGACGCATGACGACCTGCACAGATTTGATGGTCGTCGTAAAGAAAGCGTTAATTGGGTTGAGAAGCATGTAACCTACATTAATGGTTGGAACAATAGGGCTTCATTCATGCCAACTCTTGACGTCATTCAAGACGACGACTTTAATTTTGAGACTTCGGCTTACCTTGCTTATTTTTTGGATAATGGAAAGCCGTTCCTCACAACAATAGTAGAGAGGCGACAATTTTTGAGGTTTAAGAAAAGATTTGGTAAAGCTGAATACTCTCTACCGAGTGGGAGTGGGAGTTCATCTCTACAAACTGAAGCGGAAATGACCGATGTGGATAATAGCGCACCACAATCGTTGCATCACGCAGTTGATGATTCTACTGGCCCGGCATACATACCAGAGTTTGTGCAGCCTGAGGCACCCATCTATTCTCTTACGTTTTCGTCGACGTATGACTTTGAACACATGACAGTTCAAATACCCCCAATGAATGAGGGGGATGGGTACAATACTCTTGAGCCACAACGGCCACAACGTATCAGACGTCCGCCCCGACATTATCATTCAACAACACCCCGACATCGACAACAATTGTAAACTCGTTTGCTATTTATTACAAATTATTTATTGAAATTAGACTACTTTTTTTAACCTTAACAATGATTTTTAGTATCAAATCATTACTAGTATCAAATAATTAAATATTTAGTAAATCAACTATTTTAAATCATTAGTATCAAATAATTAAATATTAACAATAAATCCTTATTAATAATAATTAGTAAATCATTAGTATCAAATCATTAAATATTTAAAATCATTAATAAATTCGACTATGTATAAATTTAAACTCAGTAATCCACACTTGTACACTCATTTGTTAGTATTCTATAATTATTAGTAATAATTATTAAATCATTAGTATTAAATCATTATTATAAATAATTACTAATAATAACTAAATAATTATTATAAAATCATTATTATAATGATTATTATCAAATCATTACTAAATCATCAAATCATTAATATTTAAATCATTATTAAATCATTTTTATAATGATTATTACTAAATCATTATTATAATGATTATTATCAAATCATTACTATAATGATTATTATCAAATCATTACTAAATCATCAAATCATTAAATATTTAAATCATTATTAAATCATTTTTATAATGATTATTACTAAATCATTATTATAATGATTATTATCAAATCATTACTATAATGATTATTATCAAATCATTACTAAATCATCAAATCATTAAATATTTAAATCATTATTAAATCATTTTTATAATGATTATTACTAAATCATTATTATAATGATTATTATCAAATCATTACTATAATGATTATTATCAAATCATTACTAAATCATCAAATCATTAAATATTTAAATCATTATTAAATCATTTTTATAATGATTAATAAATACATAGAAATACATATATGATTACTAATGATGAGGCCTATATCTTGGTAAATTAGGACAATTGTTTTTTGAATGGCCTTCACCCCTACATAATCCGCATCTCTTTGCTTGACCTCTCTCTTTAGCATGAAAATCCATACTGGTATGAATTCGAGTGGACTCAGGTCGACCCTTTGGACTTCTGCGAAGCATTGGATTTGGTAGCCATTCATCATGATCCTTTTTGGGCCAATATGATTCATTCGGGATCTGTCTGAACACATAGCTGTAGACATTTAATATCCTACGTAGGTGGAAGCATTCATCAACATAAGTGTATGCGCTTACACCAGCATACATACATGCATCGACTGCATGAGCACATGGATATTTCCATGCCTGAAAACGACTACAATCACACCATTTGTGTCGTAAATCAACTCTAAATGTTTGGTCTTCTCCTCCAACGTTACGATGTATGCACGACACGACAAAAGTATGACCAACTCGGTCGAAATTATGAACAACCATTGATGTTGCCAATCGCTCATTTGCTTCCATTGATTCCACCACTGTAGGAGCCCAAGTTTTACCTCTATTTATGAGACTCTCAATTTCCTTGCCTTTGTCCGACCAAACTTTACCCAGTCTAAAGTACGTCTCTTTCACCATACTCGCTATTGGGAGATGGCGTGTACCTTTTAGTACCGAATTAATGGCCTCAACAAGGTTTGTGGTCATATGTCCGTATCTCCGACCTTCATCGTATGCTTGCGACCATTTTTCCCGCGGTATTTTTGAGCCCACTTCCAAACACGCTGATCATCGTAAAATACCTTCAAATTCTCCAATCTCTTGTCAAAATTTGGTCGACGTAGTTCGTATCATGTTCCATAATATATTGTGTTAAACCGCAATTAAAAAAACCACGTAAAAAATACACAAATATTGAAAATAAAACTTACCCATGCTGACTATCTCGCTACGAATATGTGCGTTATGAAACTGGTCGATACTATTCTTGCCAATATGACGGATACAAAATCTCGGATATGCATACGGAGGTATCCAACGACTTCCTGGTCGTTCAATTGCCGCCAAAATACCCGTTCCTCTATCGGATATCAAGCAAACTCCATCTTCACGAACGACATATTGACGTAGATTGGTCAGAAAGAAATCCCAAGCCTCTGTTGTCTCTCCCTCAACAATGGCGAATGCAATTGGGAAGATATTTCGCTCACCATCTTGAGCAACTGCCATCAAAAGTACATGCCTATATTGACCATACAACCACGTACCATCTACTTGGATCATACGTTTGCAAAATGGAAATCCTTCAATACATGCCTTGAATTCCCAAAATAGTCTATGAAATATTTTCTTCCCTGGCAGAAGTTGACCTTCTTCGTCATATGCGGGCATGGTTTGAGACTTCACTATAGTTCCTGGGATAAATCGCTTCATTGCTTGTAGCAAATGTGGTAGCTCATTGTACGATGTATCCCAATCTCCATACGTCAACTTCATTGCCTTCATTTTCGCATTCCACACCTTGCCATATTTTACTTGATATCCAAATTGGCTTCGAATAGATGCAGCTAACACTGAACAAGATATCATTGGATCTTTTTCAACCATCGCCTTCACATATTCACATATTACATCGGAGTCCAATAGTCGGTGGTCTTGTTCGATGGAGTTTCGCAAACATGTGTGCGAACCATTGTACCTCGTGATGACCCAAACATCGTGCCTTTGATTTTTCGACACTCTGATCTTCCACTTGCACTCTGGGCCATATTTTACACTTTGCGTATAGGGTTTTCTGGTTGGACTCTGCACATGGACATCAACATGGCATTTGATGCAGTACTCTTTAATAGCCAGCGTAGCTTCATTTTTTCCTCTGAATTGCACCACAACTGAAAATTCACCAGAATTATCGAATGATTCAGTCATTTGGTACGGAGGTAAATGTGGCATGTTTGGGAATTCAGGTGCCCTCATTGCATCATAATCTATCTCGTACATGTGAGGAGTAGCTTCATACGGTGTCGGAACTTCATCAATTGCACCTCCACCAAAAATATTTTCGTCACCGCCCAAAACGGGTTCTTCAGTTTCTTCATCTTCGCTTGAATCATCATGAATTTCTCCCCATCGATTTTCAGCGTCAATATCAACAACCAATTCCGGTATGTTTCTCGTATCATACTCTGCTGCTGTAGATGTCCCCCCGACTTCATTTACACTTTCCAATAGTGCCATAAAACTGTTCGGGAACCTGTATGTCGGCTCCTCAAACTGACTATATAAAGCCATTTCAGATGGATTTTGAGCCACACCTCTTGATGACCCAGGAACATCACATATGTTACGCACATCAACAAATAATTCAATAACTGCTATATTGGTTGACTCATGTAATCCAACCATGGTTCCAATATCATCATCTTCTTCAGTGGAACTGCAGCATATCTGACTGGGTTAGAGCATATCATAAACCTATACCTCAAACCATCAACTGCAGCTCGAATTTTTCTTTCTATCTTATGCTTCATTTCTATAAATGTGATGTCTTTTTTGAACATCATATTTATTGGTTTTTCAGACTGAAAAACTACTCCGACCTCATTTTCCATAATCTGTCAATTATAATGGACAATCGTGAAAAAGTTGTTGCTCATTTTCTCTACAAATAAAAAATAAATTAAATTTAGATTAAAAAATTAGATAAGATAATTTCATAAATTATTAAATATAATATAATATACTATTATATTAATGATCAAATAAAATTTATTATTTAACTTGATTGATTGATTACTAATAAACCTAATAATGATTTGATAATTACTATTAATCTAATGATTTGATATTTACTATTAATCTAATGATTTGATATTTAATGATTTAATAATAATATGATTTAGTCATAATCACTAATAATTATTTATTATAAATATTTAATGATTTAGATTTGATACTAATCATTTAGTAATTATTACTAATAATAATGATTAGTTTGATAATATTTTTTATTTTTTAAAAATATCAAACAAATTTGTTAGGCAAAACTGTCGAGATAATGTTCTCGAAATAATTATTTCGCGAGATAATGTGTTGTCCGGATTATTTCATTCAATTAATTTTTACTTCTTACTAATATACACATACAATGTAAATTAAACAAAATATTTTTAAAACAACACTAAATATTTTTAAACACAATATTTTTTAAAACGGAAATTATCTCGCACAAATTAGTTTATATAATCTAATATAAACTTACTAACTAACTAATTTACACATACACAACAACAAAAAATGGACAACAAAAAATAATAAATTACTCACGTCTTTATGCCTTCTTCCTTTACTTTCTTTTCCTGCCTTGTTTCTTTCTTCGAATCAATCTGTACATGGGAAAATATTGTGAAATAATGTCATGTATGTGTAAACAAAATATTTATTTAAACAACAATAGCTCCCACAAATTAATTTATAATCTAATATATTATATATACCTTAAACTAATAAACTATTTCTTATTATAATATAACTTAGTTAAAATAACAAACTAATTAAGCACTAATTAATTTTTTTATAATATAACTACAACTTCAACGAACAACCTAATATACGTTAAAGACACTAACTAATATTTTTTATATTTAATAACTTAAACTAAGAAACTAATTAACTAATTTTTTATATATAATATATAACTTAAACTAATAAACTAATATATAACTTAAACTAACAAACTAATAATTTATACTAACAATCTAATTAACTAGATTTTAGTTTTACCCTAAACCCGAAACTACCAAACTAATAATTTCATATAATAAACTAAATTAAACAATAAAAAAATTACCTCACGAACTATGTTTGAGCCTTTATCTTCTTTTCTTCTTCTTCCTTTTCTTTCTCTCGGCAAAGTTTATATGTGCTGGTTCTGCTTGTGCTTCTACCTAAACCCCATATCCTTTATATAAAGCAACTGAGCGTTAACTATTGAGCATTGAAAGGCTGACAGCTAAATTAACGCTGCAATAACGCAACTATAGATGCAACACATACAGCTACGGGTGCAGGAATCTCTGAGCTATGATGCAACACATGCATGCAGCTACAACAGCTACAGGACCTTGGTCGCCGAGACTCCATGGCGACCTACCTACCACGCCGCCGTGACCTACACCGTTCGACGTGCATGGCCATGCACAGTTCCCACGTCCAATGCACAGCATGCATCCCCTCCCCCATGCATTCTCACCCCCATGCATTCCCACGTCCCACGCATCCCCTCCCCCATGCATTCCCACGTCCCATGCATCCCCTCCCCCATGCATTCCCACGTCCCATGTTGATTGCATGGCGACCTATTCCTTGCAAAATACACACAGGTCGCCCGGATGCCATGGCGACCTCTAAGGTCGCCCGGATGCCATGGCGACCTTGGAGGTCGCCCGGATGCCATGGCGACCTCCAAGGCCACTGTAGAATTCACCCCATTCCAGCAATTAATCTGGAATGTGCACCATATCGTGAAAAAAAAATTCGAGAACATTATCTCGTGAATTCACCCAACTAAAAATTGTATGTCAATTTATAATATTTTATTCATAAAAGGCATTTAAGTAAGCTACTATATATTTTTTTTTGTCAAAATAAGTCCTTAAACTATTATATATTTTACTTATTTCATTATAAATTGTTTCAATTTTTTTGTTAGAGTTTTTTTTTTCGGCCAAAGAGATAAAGTAACATTTAAATTTAAACATTTTTTTACTTATTTATTTGTGATTCAATTTAAATATTTTACTTATATCCCACATTAAATTTAAGTTAACCTTTAACGTTCAATTATATTGATGAAGCAATTGATTGATGTAATGTAATGTTAATGTTTTCAAAATGTAATTAGAACATTTTGAAGTTTAAGATCAATTCGAAACATAAACAAAAAATTGGGGATGCCTATTACAATTAATCCTTGTTTATTTTTCGAGTTTTTGTTTTGTTTTCTTCCTTCTTTCGCTCAGAAATCTCACTCCGAGTCTCGAGTCTGAACTCTGAGCAGTATTTGTCATTAGCTTTTTTTGACTCGCAAAGACGTTCTCCTTAACTCAACTGGCCACAAACTAAACAGGATTTCTGGGTTTTCACCTCTCTCTATTTTGGCTTGCATCACCTCGTTTCATAAGGTTTGATTCTCATCTTCCCTCGCTATTTTCCTCTTTTTGGGTTCCTTAAATTATTCTGCTTAAAAATTAAAATCATGGATCTTTCTAATAATCGATTGTTAGATGTGAAATTATGGGGTTTTTTTATAATTATTTACACGAATTCTTTGTTTTCTTGTTACGAATTAATGTTTATTTGCTAGTAAAATATAATTTGTTATCATTACGAATTGCCAGTATAGTAAATTAAAAATGTATATAATGAAGTAATTATTATTGGGTTCTTGTTTTTGAGTTGAAAAGAAATACTCACACACTCAACTAAATGAAAACGAATGTTACCCCTTCTGAATTCTGGTTCTTTTAGGCGCCCATTCCTCGCATTGTTATCCAAAGTTAAAAAAAAAAAATAGCCTAGCCGTCCTTAGCCATCGGAAGGCAAGGTCAATCACCAACAACTATGCATATCTTGTATTCTCACGATTTTGATATGAATATGAATTTTGCGGGTGATCTTTGGTTGGGCATGTTTAATTCAGTCTCTTATGAACTGTGAGTATATTTTTAGAATTAGCTTTGTTATAAGTGTTCAATGATTTTTGGCGCTTGATATGAATGATGGAAATGAGGAAGGATGGAAAATTTGTTAATCAAATGATTAACATTCATAATAACTTCTACTTTGAATCTTAACCATTTGATTTACAAATTTTCCATCCTTTCTCATTTTCATCCTTTATACCAAGCAAAACCTTTAAGTTTTTATGCCGCACTAAGCTCCATAATGCCTCCATTGGATGAAAAATTAGGGTTAAAGTATTAACTCTAATTGTAACATATGAAATCAACTTTTTGTTTTTTCTCTCCTTATTTTTTATGTGATTGAATGGAGGTCTAAACGTGAACTGGATTGTGTCGAAAAGATGTATTTGCATGGCTTTGAAACAATAAGAATTGTGGTAAACTATTGGAACAAAATAATGCAAAAATAAAAGTATATCCATAGGTGAGTCCTCAACAGATTCTTCATTTTGTTTTGTTTATGTATCTAACCAAACGACAACTTTTCAGCTCAACCTCAGGTTGAATTTCAGGTTTCCGCCATTGCTAAATATTAAAAAAGCTGCTTCAGAAACAGAGATCAAGTAGATAGAAACCAAAAGCAAGAAGCTGAAAATGAATCGAACAGAGTCAGAATTGCTAAAGGCCTTAACCAAAATCATACAAACCTCAAAAAACCCAATAGGTTCCTTAACTCCTTACACTCCTCTTCCATCTCCAAACATTCTCCAATCCCTGGTTTCCTCTCCTTCCCTTTCCTCCAACCCTTCCACCCTCCTTGTCCTCCACAAACTCTCCCTTTCCCTCTTCCCTTGTCTTTCTTCTTCGGCTTCTTTCCTTCTTTCCCTTCTCCGTCCCCTCCTTTCCAACCACAAATTCTCCGAATCTAAATCCCTCTTCCTCTCCTTCCTTTTCCTCTGATTCCCTAAATACCCTCTTCAACTCCCTCATTCACAGCCCCTCTCTTTCTAAATCAAAACGCTCCTTGAAATCTCAGTTTCCAGCTATGTCCAATCAGGGAAACCTCATTTAGGTTTTGTGCTCTTCTGTGCTAAGAAAAGGCTTAAAAAGAAACCCAACTTGCTTACTTGCAATACTCTTATCAACGGGTTAAAAATCATCAATTCAACCACACATAAAAAAAAAATATTCATCACAATTGCAGACATAATCAGAATTAACATACAATTACAAACCTTGTCGTCGACATAGGCAGCCCAGAATCGAGACTGGGCTCGTTCATAAGGATCGGAAGGGAGAATGGAAGGCCGAGAGGAGGACCAGAGCTCGTCGGGACTCGCAGACGGGCTTATCGCCATGGATGAGAACTGGAACTTTCTTGTGAAGGGGGTTTGATTTGAGAAGAAGCTCGCTTTTGGCCTCCAGCAAATTTTCTTCAATGTAGTCGTAGTGGATGGATTTGAGGTGAAGGGAGATCCTTACCCTCGTCACGAACGGGCTTGCCCATGTTCCCAGTACCTTCACGTCGCCATTTCAGCAAAAAGTTCAGTGCTGTTTTTATATGTATATATGGTCGAGCGATATTAATTGCGAGGCTTGAGAGAAATTTCAAGATTGGTGGCAGATTTCCACATAGTTGTGGGGCTTAGAGAAATCTCCATATTGGTGATTTGTTGCCCTTTTTAAAATCTAACTAGATTAAGAGAAATGGGATTTTTAATACATATACATATAATCATAAATTTTCTTAAAATGAGGTAATCTCCAAATTAATTTCTGATTGGAGCTTGCCATAGAGATGGTGAGTTTATTTCAATTAATTCATCATTTTTTAGATTTAAAAATCTTTCACAAAAGGATTGGTAAATCTTTAATTTTTATTTAGTCGATGGGGATATTAATTTTAATGTTAGTTGTTGAATATGCTGATTATTAGTTTTATTATGTTTTATATTATGCTTTTTGTTGCCCTCTCGATTCCAATGTTTTGACTTGACTAATCTGAACCGACCCGCATCGCACACCTGACTTTAATGGGTGAGTCTCCCAGCATAGATTTTTGTACATACACAAGGACTCGAACTCGTGACCTTACTTAATCAATAGCAAGCTGCTTACTACTTGAACCAACCACTATTAGTTTTATAGTATGTTTTTTAAATTTTAAATAATAATATCTATTCTTCTGGCACATTCTTATTTGTTCTTGTGACCCGATCCTTACGACTTTTGGTACGTTTTTGTATATCTTTGAGATCGGTTTGGTGCTCGCACAAAGACCCTCATGATATTTACTTTTTGATTGGTATACCTTTAGTCACATATTATTGAACGTTTGAGGTAGCTACACTAACAACAAGATACAAGAACATAATGCTTTCTTTTTCATTTTGCAATTCTTCATTTACAGCCTTTATATAGGTTCAAGCATACAACAGTCACACACAACTAACATTAGTTACAACTATAAACAGTTTACTTAACAGTCTAACACCCTAACTGCCTTAACTACACGAGCAACAACCTGCAACACTGATCAGCTGCACTTCATCTCCATGAGTAGTGATTGCATGTAGCACATCACATGCACATACAATCCAACATTCTCCCTACTTTCTCTCCTCTCCTGCTCCTTCAACACATCTTCACACACAATTTCTCTCGAAATTCTTCAAATGCATGTCGAGCTAGTGGCTTGGTCAAGCCATCAGCAATCTGATGAGCAGTAGACACGTAGTTAACTCGCATTTGTTTTGCTGCAACCTTCTCTCGCATGAAGTGTATGTCAAGGTCAATATGCTTTGTGCGTGCATGATAAATAGGGTTTACGCTCATAGCCCAAACGCTAGTGTTGTGGCACCATATGACTGGTTCTTCTTTTTGGCACATACCAAGTTCTGCAAGCAGTGCACCAACCTAAACCACGTCTACTGCAATGTCAGCAACGCTTTTATATTTCGTCTCTATTATGGAGCGCGAGACTGACTTTTGTTTCTTGGAGTTCCAAACCACCAAATTATTGCCAACAAAGACACTATGCCTAGATACCGACCTCCTGTCATCGAGATTGTCACCCCAATCTGCATCGACAAAGGCTGCAACTTTCACCCCAGCTCCAGCAACAGTGAAAACCAGACCAAAGTTCATCGTGCCTACCAAGTAACGCAGAATCCGTTTCACTGTGATCATATGCGATTGTTGTGGTGCATGCATATATTGAGCCACTTTATTAACACAGAATGTGATATCCGGTCTTGTGTGGCATACATAAAGTAATCCTCTAACGATGCTGCGATAGTTGTATACATCAGGTATAAGGTCCCCCTCATCACCGCGCAACTTGGTAGAACCACCATGGGAGTTGGTGTAGGAGTGGATTTTAATATGTTAGCTTTTTCCAGAAGTTCAATGATGAACTTCTTTTGTGACAGAGCTAGACACTTACATGTTCTTCTTACTTCAATGCCAAGAAAGTATGAAAGCTGCCCGAGATCCTTGAGTGAGAATCTATCACTTAGTAGTCTAACAACTTCATCTATCTCATTGCTCGAATGACCTGTGATTATTATGTTATCAACATACACTAGCAGATAGATAAAGTTCACACATTTCTTCTTGATGTACAACGAGACATCAGCTCGTGACTCTTGGAACCCGATACATAGCAAATAATCTCGAAGCTTGGTGTATCGGCTTCTAGGTGCTTGTCTTAGCCCGTAAAACGCCTTTTTCAATCGACAGACCAGCTTACTGCCATCAGGAGTAGTCTGTTTAAAGCCTGGTGGTTGTTGCATGAAGACCACCTCTTGAAGCTCACCATTCAAGAAGGCATTATTGACATCTACTTGTTGAAGGGCCCAATCGTTGGTTATTGCTAATGAGAGTGATATTCAAGGTGGTGAACTTAACCACGGAGATGAAGATGTCTCTGAAATCGTAGCCAAGTATTTGTGAGAACCCTTTTGTAACTAAACGTGCTTTGTATCAATGAATTGAGCCATCAGGGTTCTTCTTGAGCTTGAACACCCACTTACATCCAACCACCTTTCTTTCTTCAGGTAACCTGCTAACTCCCAAGTCTCATTACGTTGCAGTGCATTGTATTCTTCATATACAACTGTCTTCTACTCTGGTACTTTAAATGCTTCACGTACCGTGTATGGAACATAGTCCAGAGCAGACCCTATGTAGGCTTTGGGTTTAAACACTCCACACTTACTCTGAGTTAGCATGGGATGAGTGTTGCCACGAGGTTCTTCGGTTTCAGTATCATCATCGCTGACCACATCATCAGCATGTTGATTCATAGTGCATTCATCAACAGGTTGACTGACAATATTATCGTTTGCTTCCATATTGCAGTGTGTTGTTCTGGACTTGACTCACGTTCAACACTCCCACTATTGACATGAGCATCCATATGGATCTCATTGTTAGCCATATGTTCAACACTTTCCTCCACACCGCGAGCAGTAGTTGATGTTTGCAAGTCACCCGATGAATTGCTGCTTGCATTTGTAGGCAGCCTATGAGATTCAAGTTGCTGGGCCCTGAATTTGGTAATGTCAGTGATTAACTCAAGGGATTGAGACTGTCTCGTATTCGAGCCTGCAACGGAACTCCTGCTAGAATCACCTGCAAAAGGAAACACATCCTCATTAAATACCACATGCCTTGATATATAGACACGTCTATCACTTTCTAAGCACTGAAACCCTTTGTGTTGCATGTTGTAACCCAAAAATGTGCACACTTGAGACCGAAACTCTAGCTTGTGACGCATGAACGACCTTAGATGAGGGAAGCATCTTGTAACACCCCCAACCCGTACCCGACCCGGATACGAGTCAGAGATACTACATTGACTTTAAAATACAACTCTTGACAAATAATAGCAAAATATTTGAACTTATATTAAGAAAATACAATAATATACATATTGTAATATAAGTTTATCAAAATGTTCAGAGCATACACAACTTAACCCTTTAATTACATGCCAACTGCCATTTACATAACAAAATGACCTACTGATTAAGTTACTTCTGATCTGGTGGTTGCAGGAGTAATACTGTCAAGCTGCTTCACCTGTCTCGTCTATTTCCTCGGATCCTACGTGTGAAACACTCACACGCTAAGTCATCGACTTAGTGAGGCAATAATAATAACAAGGCAATGTAATGAAAATGTCATGATCATATGAAATGAGATGCAAGCATGTACTTAATCAATGTAGTATACATCATTAATATCCATACCTGTAAGCGTATGACTGTAACATTCATGAATCTGTATTAATAAGTTTATTGGCCCATGATAGCATATTGAGAACCTAAGGTATCGGAGTAATGTGAGGTTGTGCACTATGCTGTCACCACAGCTCGTATAAATGCACCGAAGTGCCCGTAGAATTGCACCGTAGTGCCATATAATGATCCATAAGGACCACATAGAATTCTTTAAGAATCATATACATATACTATGGATCAAGTATGTGTCTTTCAAAACCTCACACATGTTCCAAAGAATATACATATGTCCCAAAGAACCGCGTAGACCCTCTACCCTTGGCATGCCAACTATACCTATAGTTCTCATCTACATAACATGGGCTTTTACATTTCACGTAGTCTATATCGCGTAGACATGTAATTCCTTACCTTTTCACATAGCTCATAACTTTTTCCACATATTCATGTCATATAATGCATTTTATATGAACTCATGTCATGCCTCATAATACAGAATATGCTCATGTACCAAGATATAAAATCTAGACTTATCACAAGTCTAGAATGGAGTATATTTCTATAATCATGCTATGCATATGCACTCACCTATACTTCTTTGCCTTTTCCTCGATCGATCCTACTTGTAGATTGTTCCCGAACTTGTGTAGGCTCGGTATCTACATAAACATAATTTTCAAGATGATCATCAGATGTCTATGTCTTGAAATTAAGCTTTAATAGCTTACTAATTTAAGAAATTAATAGCTTAGTCTTTCTTTCTTTTCTTCTTTTTTTTTTCTTATGGGGGAATCGGTTCCCCCCTGGGGGTATCGATTCCACTCCAGCATTCTGGAAATTCATATTCGTTGAGGGGGTATCGGTTCCCCTTGAATGGGTACCGATTCCCCTAACCCGAAAATCCTATTTTGAGCTCGAAAATCCTTTTCTTTCAGCTCAAATATACATATTTCACTCCCTTTAATACTCTTAGCTCTCATACACTTACTTAAACTAATTATTATCCATTCCATACCTCTAAAGCTAAAGAAACTAATCATCCATATAGAATTGAAGAATCTTACTCAAATTCCAACTTGTTCTAATTTCAATTCTATTACCTCATACTTCTTAATTAACTTATTGACAAGTCAAAAATCTTATTCAAACTTTAAAAACTCATCCATATCAAAATTCCATCTAAAAACTCATTTCCCAAATCTATCTCTAAAACACTTATCTTGTTGTTTTAATGTCATATAAGCTTTCCTTTAGCTTATATAACATCCAAACTTTCATTTCCAATCTTAAAAATCAAAGAAACTACCAAGGTTCAGATTCTTACCTTTACTTGCAAGCTCCACGTTTGAAGAAGGAAAAGAAGAAGATAAGAAAGAAGGAAGAAGAAATGAGAGAATTCTGGAAACCTAATGCTCCACGTGGGTTCTAATATATCCCATAACATTTTTTTTTAATTATAATTTTCTTCCTTACAAATGACCATTTGGTCCTTACATCCATTTCATATTTACTAACCATTCTTTTTAAACTATATAATTATTCTACTTCAATCACCAAATGTTGAAACTTTGCAAATTAATCACTAACCCGGCATGGAGGATGTTACAAATCTCTCCCCCTTAAGAAAATTCGTCCTCGAATTTTCATTGCACGAACAAATGAGGGTATTGATGTCGCATATCTTCTTCACGTTCCCATGTTGCTTCTTCTACTTTGTGATTTCTCCACAACACTTTGATCAAAGGAATAGTCTTGTTCCTCAATTGCTTAACTTCATGTGCTAGAATTTGAATCAGTTCTTCCTCATAAGTCATATCCGGTTGTACCTCGATCTCTTCTGGATTTACGATATGGGAGGGATCAGATCGATATCTTCGAAGCATTGAAACGTGAAAGACATCATGTATCTTTTCCATTTCAGGTGGTAAAGCTAGCTGATATGCTACAGGTCCTACTCTCTTTACAATCTCATATGGTCCAATAAACCGAGGACTCAATTTTCCTTTTCGACCAAATCTCAACACCTTCTTCCATGGAGACACTTTTAAAAACACTTTATTTCCAACTTGAAATTCAATTTCTTTCCTTTTAAGATCAGAATAGGACTTTTGCCGATCAGAGGCCACTTTGAGGTTATGCTGAATTTCTCGAACTTTCTGTTCTACATCTTGAATTAAATCCGGACCAAGAACACTTCGGTCTTTGAGTTCGTACCAATTTAATGGAGTACGACATTTTCTTCCATATAATGCTTCATATGGGGCCATCTTTATACTAGACTGATAACTATTATTGTAAGCGAACTCTGCCAGCGGTAAATACTTTTCCCATGATCCTTTAAATTCCATTACGCATGCTCTCAACATATCTTCCAATATCTGAATAGTTCTCTCTGATTGCCCATCAGTCTGAGGATGAAAAGCCGTACTAAAGTTTAAACGAGTTCCCAACGCTCCATGCAAAGATTTCCAGAATCTAGAAGTGAATCGAGGGTCTCGATCAGAGACTATGGAAACATGTACTCCATGCAATCTAATAACTTCTCTAATATACAGCTCTGCATACTTTTCCATAGAGAAATCCGTTCTAACCGGAAGGAAATGCGCTGACTTAGTTAATCGATCCACAATTACCCAGATTGATTCTCTTTTGTTCGGGGTCAAGGGTAACCCCGAAACAAAATCCATCGTAACATTTTCCCATTTCCATTGAGGAATGAAAAGAGGTTGCAATAATCCTGATGGAACTTGATGCTCGGCTTTGACTTGTTGACATATCAAACACTTAGACACCAATTCTGTGATGCTTCGCTTCATCCCTGACCACCAAAATCGATCCTTCAAATCCATATACATCTTGGTTCCACCCGGGTGCATCGTCAATGGACTACAATGAGCCTCTGTCAATCTTCTCTTCAAAATTTCTTTCTTCAAATCTTCATTTACTTTGCAATTCTCCTATTCGTTCCAACCATGCTGGTTTAAGGGTTAATTCTGCACAAAGACCACCGTCTCCCGTTAAAGATAATCTTGCATCCATAGCTCGTAAAGCTGCAAACGTCTTTCTACTCAGAGCATCTGCTACCACATTAGCCTTTCCGGGATGATAGTCAATTATCACATCATAATCCTTTAAGAACTCTACCCATCTACGTTGTCTCAAATTCAATTCTTTTTGAGTCATCAGGTACTTCAGGCTCTTATGATCCGTATATAAGTAACAACGCTCCCCATAAAGATAATGACGCCAAATCCTGAGGGCGAATACTACAGCAGCCATTTCTAAATCATGAGTGGGGTAATTCCTTTCATGTGGTTTCAACTGTCTCGATGCATACGCTACCACATTTCCTTCTTGCATTAATACACACCCCAACCCGTTATGGGATGCGTCACTGTATACTACAAAATTCTTGCCAGATTCTGGTTGAACCAATATCGGAGTTTCCGTCAGAATTCTCTTTAAAGCTTCGAAGCTTTCTTGACATTCAGAAGTCCAAACAAATGGTACATTCTTTCTCATTAGCTTTGTTAGAGGCAGCACAATCATCGAAAAATTCTTAACGAATCTTCGATAGTAACCGGCAAGTCCCAGAAAACTCCGAACTTCAGACACATTCTTAGGAACTTCCCAATCCATTATAGCTTTAACCTTCTGAGGGTCTACTCTAATCCCAACTGCCGAGATCACATGCCCCAAGAAAATTACTTCCTTTAACCAGAACTCACATTTGGACAATTTCGCATAGAGATTTTTATTCCTGAGAATTTGCAACACTAGCCTCAAATGTGTGCCGTGCTCTTCATGGGATTTCGAGTACACCAGTATGTCATCAATAAAGACAACAACAAACTGGTCCAGATAGGGCTGAAAAATCCTGTTCATGAGATCCATAAAAGCAGGGTCTACTCTAATCCCAACTGCCGAGATCACATGCCCCAAGAAAATTACTTCCTTTAACCAGAACTCACATTTGGACAATTTCGCATAGAGATTTTTATTCCTGAGAATTTGCACACTAGCCTCAATGTGTGCCGTGCTCTTCATGGGATTTCGAGTACACAGTATGTCATCAATAAAGACAACAACAAACTGGTCCAGATAGGGCTGAAAAATCCTGTCATGAGATCCATAAAAGCAGCAGGTGCTTCGTTACTCCGAATGGCATTACAATGAATTCATAATGACCATATCTCGTTCGGAAAGCTGTCTTCGAAATATCTTTCTCCTGGATCTTCAATTGATGATAACCCGAACGTAGATCGATCTTCGAAAATACCGAAGCTCCTTTTAGTTGGTCAAACAAGTCATCAATGCGCGGAAGGGGATACTTGTTCTTAATGGTCACCTTATTAAGCTGTCGATAATCAATACAAAGACGCATTGATCCATCATTCTTTTTAACAAATAACATCGGAGCTCCCCAAGGTGACACACTTGGTCGAATAAATCCTTTTTCTAACAAATCTCGCAATTGATTCTTTAACTCTTGCAATTCCTTCGGAGCCATCCGATAAGGTGCCATTGCAATTGGAGCGGTTCCTGGCATTACTTCGATTTGAAATTCTACCTCTCTATCCGGAGGTAATCCTGACAACTCAGCAGGAAAAACATCAGGGAACTCTCGAACTATTGGAATCTCCTCTAACCTTTTCTCTTGAGCTCTTGAATCAATCACATTTGCAAGAAAACCCTGACATCCTTGTAACAATAATTTCTTGGCAGACATCACTGATATTACATTTGCTAAAGGATTACACATTTCACTGATCACAGTAACTTCTATTCCTTCTGGACTCTTCAGGGTTACCTTTTTCAATCTACAGTCGACATTCCCATAATAAAAAACCAATCCATTCCCAGAATCACTTCAAACTCGTCAAAGGGTAATTCCATCAGATTAGCAGGGAATTCAATTCCCTGAACCTTTATGGGACACCCCTTACAGACTTTGTCCACCTGAGTACTATGCCCTAACGGATTAGTTACTATCATCACATTACTCGTAGCTTCTATAGGAATCCTCAACTCCTTTACTAACTTACTTGTAATATAAGAATAATTAGAACCCGGATCAATCAGCACCAATACTAATTTATCATACAACTGAAAAGAACCTGCTATAATATCAGGGTCATCACGGTCTTCACTTGTTTTTAGGTTATATACTCGAGCAGTGGATCGAACTTCAGGTTGAGCAGAGAATTCAGACGGGTTCCTTCATCTGCCTCTTCCTCGTCCTCTTTGGGAGAAAGAATCAGCTCTTCCAAATGATGCCGGCTCACCAACAATCAATGGACAATCCCGGACAAAATATCCGGCATCTCCGCATCGAAAACAAGTCCCAGCAGCCATACGACAAGCTCCTTAATGGTTTTTCCCACAATGCTGACACTGTCTCCCTTGACCCGGAGTAGATCTCCCAGCACCAGATTCCACTGACTGCGTCTGTCTAGGTCTTGCCTGACTTGCTCCCCTAGCAGACGATGCAACTGATTCTGATCTAGTTTGTGATCGAAATCCCGAGTCTCTTCCCCTTTTTGTCGGTACTGATCTAGAAGAAGTAGTCGTCCTCTTTGATGTCTGAACTCTTGAGTCTCCAAATCTTTCATTCTGAGCCCTTTCAAGAGCTTTTGCACGATTGATCACCTCCTGGAACGAGGACAAGTTTAATACTATCAACATTTCTTTAAGTCTAGGGCGCAAGCCCTCCACAAACCACTCGCAAGCATCTTTTTCAGTAGGCACAAGCTCAGCTGCAAACCTGCTCAGCTTATTAAACTCACATTCGTACTCATATACAGAGCGGCTCATCTGCTTCAAATTCATAAACTCCTGCTTCATTTGTCGGATAAACTGATCTCCAAATACTTTTTTAAATTCTTCTAAAAACAAAGACCAAGTCAACTGGTCGGTTGACATTCTCATGGTGACGTTCGTCCACCATATCCTCGCCTGACCCCTTAATAAAGACACATCTCCATCTAATTTCTCC